CGGTATCGCTTTCATTTCCTCTTCTCTTGTTCATCTCGCTCGCATCGCTGCGTTTGAGCAAGACGCGACGTGGAGCAGAGTACAATTCCATCTGCGGTTCGCCTGACTGACTGGTTTGAGGGGCTAGGGAGGTGGAGTAGGGCGATGAGGGGTCTGTAAGACCTAGTTGACCCGTCGTGTGATCTGTAGGTGGGCGAACGAGGCATGGAATGCTGAGCGGTTCTTGTGCGTTTCGACTGACACGGAATCGGAAATTGGAAGGCCTGTCGCGCTCCTCTAGCCTAGCCTACCCCAGATTCGGATCTAGCCTCAGACTCACTTCCGAAAGCGAACAAAGCATGCGTTGCACTTGTACGCTTCTCTTGCTCCGTCTGCTGCTGCTGCTGAGCCTGCTCCAGCTCCTGCTCCAGCTCCAGCTCCTGCTCGTGCAAGACATCAAGTTCAGTAACGATGAACCCCGCAGCATTTCCCATCTTGACCAACTTTACACCTCCTTCTCCCCAGTATCCACCTCTAACAATCCCCCAAGTCGCTTCGTGAGAAGTGAATCCTAATCCCAATTGGCCATGCGTATTGCGTCCAAATGTTGCTATTCGTGTTCGAACGTGTTTCAAACGTCTAGCTTCATGACCTTCTATCGTCTTTGTCTCATTCCGAGCGTTGCTATTTTCGGACCAGAGGCCAGGGTGGAAAGCTGGTTTGGCGCCTAGCGTCCGGTAGACGATGGCTCCTCCTCCTCCTACATCGTCGCTCATATCTAGTCCAACGACTGACAACCCCCTGCTCAAATCCTCAACCGGTGCACCTAAAGCTGCGATCCATTCCTTTTTAAAGGGCACAAAGGAAGCGGAAGCTTGATCCAGAATGGTGCCGGAAAAGAGCAGATGTTGTCGTGCTGAAGTGGTGCTGGTGTGTATTGCGCGCCGATGATGCTCAGGAGCATGAGCCAAGGTGAAAGGTGTGACTGCCGAGGAGCCGAATGTGCAGAATGAACAGCGCGGGCGCCTACCAGCCACGTCCCACGCTCGATTGGTGCTTGTGAGTGCGGGTGCAAGTGCAAGTGCAAGTGC